TTTTGAACATTTCTTCATGTGCTTGTTGGACATCTGAATGTCTTCTTTGGTGAAGTTCAAATTCTTTATGTAACTTATGTCAATTGTTATTTCAGTCTATTCAGTCTCTCTATTTAAGGACTGCCTCTAGCCACATTAGCATCACAGAATGGGTGAAGTGATTAAAGCCTTGATCCTCCTAGGAGGTCTGGCAAGGTCTTCAAAACAAAACCAAATTCAGAAAGTTGATTCAGATTCAAGGTTTTCAGGTAAAGACTTTGCCCTTTCTTTGAGTATGTATGTAGCAGGCAAGAGCTCTGTAGCTTAGTTTCTTCGAGGGCTTACTTTCCGTATTTGGATGCATACTTAACTGGGATTCTGGGAACTGAATAAGGTACAAAATATAAAATCTTTTCACAAAATGCATGGCACAGAGAAAGCGCTCAGTAAACATTAATTAATCAAAACCGTCATCGATCGGCAAGGGAGAGGCAGTTCAGGTGTTAATAATCTTTTACAAATGCTGACACTACTGAAATGTAATTTTGATGTCTGAGGAAATGGGAAGGCAAAATGTGACTCATCTGGCTATTGATCAATAATAAACTGAAAAAGAGAAGTTCCCATTTTCGTAGCAATGTGATGGTTCTAGAAATGGCTGTAGGAGAGACATGGTGACTGCTTGACTACCAGTGAAGCTGTCCCACCACTCTCGCTCCCAGAACCTCAAGGCACCAAATATAAAATTTGAGGAAAGTCGCCCTCCCTCATAGTTCAGGTAGGACGCTCCGCCCCGTAACGTCATCACCGAGCGCGGGGACAGGGAGATTTCCTCGCGACCGTATAAAGTCTCTTCCCAGAATCCTCTCTCTCTCTTTTCGCCATTTTCCCAGTGTCGCTGAAGTTGCAGCCATGAAGTAAGTTGGTTTTGCCTACAATCCACTTCCATCCTTGGCTAGAGAGAGTTTTTTTCAGGGAATGACCTTTCCTTGCTGTAGACACCCACCTTAACAGTCTTATTTTTCCTTACAGGGTTGAGCTGTGCAGTTTCAGCGGGTACAAGATCTACCCCGGGCACGGGAGGCGCTACGCCAGGATCGACGGAAAGGTAAGGGCCGAGGTGGTTAAAGACAGCTTCTTGGAGGGTGGGAGGTAAATGTCATTCAGTACAGGCAGGCTTTACCCCCCCCCATGTAAACCTAGGCCCCCGAAAAAATAGAGGCTGAGAGGCCTATTCAGTAAAACCACTCAAGAGCCTGAATAAAGTGCGAGTGAAGTCGAAAGTCAGCAGAAGTTTGTAAGATTATAGTGATTTGATGAAAATAACAGGTAACCGTGGTCCACATGGAACCAAGAGCAGACTGGAGCTGGACGCCTCCGAGGACTTGTTACCCTTGCTGTACGTTCACTCTACAAGTTTAAGGCTACCCTAAATGAAAGGCCTTCGTAGTGCCACTCAGTTGTCGGCTAGTTGTGTAATACAACCCTCTCAGTTGCTCTGGGGCCTCAGTATTGCATTAAAGGTTACACATCAGCTTCTAATGCTTTTGAGGGTTAAAGACTCAATTAATTTAACCTTTTAACAATAGGTGTTCCAGTTTCTTAATGCAAAATGCGAGTCGGCTTTCCTTTCCAAAAGGAATCCACGGCAGATCAATTGGACTGTCCTTTACAGAAGGAAGCACAAAAAGGGCCAGTCGGTAAGTAAATCTCCACATCAGTTTTGATGCTGAGACATTAACTATGAAGATGATACAGCTTGTCAAGGTGCTCTTCTTCTGTAGGGGAGTATTAAGCAGGTGAAATGGATGTTCTAAAACAGTATCTCAGCATGTATCTCAGGCTCACAGTGAAAGTTGCTCAAATAAAATCTGTTACATTATGCACTTTTATGGGGCACCCTGGGAGGGTTGAAGGTTTTCCAGTGGATGGAGAGTTAGCAGTTATTATGCAGACTTAACTTTGACTATGTTCTATTAGTCCTAACAGGTTGTTGTGGTATAGTTGCCCTGCTAATCCAAGGCCACACTTCTCTGGTTCTTTTAAATCACTGCTCTTGGAGAAAAGGACAGTTTTCTTTGCTGCCTACATTCTTTAAAGCATTGTGGAGGGTCAGCTATGAGAGGCCTAAATAGCGTTTTTCCAGCATACTCGTTCTCAACTTAAGGGGGATTCAATCACCTTAGAATAAGAGATAGGAAGATTGTAAAGAAAGATGGAACAGTCTCTTCCTCTGTGATTTATAGCATCCGAAAACATGCTGGAGAGTCAGCTGTAAATAATTTTTTTACTCAAAAGGCTATAATGATTCTCGAGAAGCCTGAATGCGTTTTGTAACTGCTGCTCCTGGTTTTGAAGTGTCCTTTTAGCTTTATGGAATTGACAAGAGAAAGATGTTAGTGGCAGGGCCATGAGAATTAGTATACAGAAGTCTTGGAATATTGAGCCAGCACTCTCTGAGAGACCCCAGTAGATACTGTCTAGTATTAATATTCTTACATTTACGTTTAAAGTGAAATGATTATTTAGTTATAGTTAGCCTTACTCTCGATTTTGTTGGCATCTTAAAAGACATTTTTGCCCATTTCTGCTTAAAACATCTTGGAAGGGGGACTTTTGGCATTAGACTCTTAGATTGATCAATGCTATTTTGTACAATCTAAAACAGTTTAAATGTAGTTTTTTTGAGCTGCAAGATCTCCACTCCCTTTTTGATAGAGTAGATTTTTAGTGCCTATATGTAGTGTTTATATTGAATCCTGTAAATTCTAATGTTTAGTAGATTGTTTTAAACTATTTTCTTGAGTATTTAGAAGAGGTGAGCTGAAGTTTGTTATCCAGAAGTAGTCTTATTAAAATTTGTTTTAAGGTATTATCCACTTAACTAAATAACTCTTTTCTATTTTTGTTTAATAAAGTAGCCCAAAAGGCCAACTTTATCAACCTCTAGGTGGCAAACATTCCTGGATATTTATATGTGAATATAAATCTTAAAAACTTAATTTGCCAGTGTCCCCTAAATTTGTGAAGACAGAACTCATAAGCATATATTCTTGGGTTTTGTAGGAAGAAATTCAAAAGAAAAGAACCCGCCGAGCAGTCAAATTCCAAAGGGCCATCACTGGTGCATCTCTTGCTGATATAATGGCCAAGAGGA